ATAACATATATACGTATACCCCCCCCGAAAATGCGAGTGGGGGAGAAATTTCTGTCAAGCTGAAATGTGAAAACGTGGTATGCGTGGCGAAGCCAAATGTTACACTCTCCTTACATCCCACAAGCGCCTATGCAAATATAAAAAGCAAATTTGCATAAGTATTATTTACATATACTAAAATTTATGTATAATGTGCATGTATATATATATGCATTTATATTGTATACATAACTTATGCGCCTTTCCCCACTTGCAAACGCTTGTGCAGTCAACCCTCTGTCGTCAGTTGCTTTTTTTTTCCTCCCCCTTTTGTAATTGTCGAACTAGTTTTGCTCCTCCTACACCCCCCCGACGTGAAAAAAAAACAAAAGGTGGCATCCCCCTCTCCATTTGTTAAGAGTGAGCCTCCCCGACCTCGTAACGCATAAAAAAGGGGATTAAGCCCATATGCGGCAAATGTGCATAAGCGTGTAAGCATACGTTGTTCATATGTTGGTGCTCAGGTATAACAATATATATAAATGCCGCCTATTCCCCCCCCCCCCCCCCGCAGCCCTTTTCTTCATCTGTACATGTGAGGTGCATACATATATGTATGCATATGGGGATTGCACATACCTAGCCGCAAATTGGCACGCCCATACCCCTACACGTGCGTGGGCACGTTGGTAGGGCCCCAGTTTTATAGGTGGGGGGGTTAATATCATATAAAGTACATGCAACGCAGCGCGGGGCACATGAAAATAAACAGTTTATATATATATATTATTTATATGTATATATATCCCTGCGTGCGCAGCTCACACGACGCGTATAGAAAAAAAAAAAGAAAAGCCCCATAGGGGGACAAGTAGCAAAATAAAGTGTAGTGGTGTAGCGCTACTTATATACTCCCATCTTAATGTGTAATTTTTATTTTGTGCTTGTTTTGACGTAAAAAAATTACGGGTTTAATTGCATCCTGTGAGAAAATAGCGTTCTTGTAAATTTTTTTTTTTTTTTTTTTTTTCTCTTCTCTCTCTTTAATTCCTTTTTTCTCACATTTCGAATTGACTTAACTGGGATGCTATCGTATGTGATGATACGACAAGATACGTCATATATGTTACGTTGTGGTAATGCAAGCGCAAGCCTGCCGAGGACCCGCGATGCAAGAAAATCACATCACCCCGTTATTTTGAATTCCCCTTTCCTACCACATGATTTTATAGCTTATGCACAAATGCAAAGGGATGGTGGGTATGCAAACCCGAGGTATATATAATATAAGTGCCATATTGTAGGAGAGGGCGTGCATATATATTATATATACATATATACTCATATATACGTCGTGTCACATGTATATATATATATGAGGTATGCTTATTTTTTTTTTTTTTCCAAACATTTACATACTCTCACATGTAGCAAATATATGTTTGTACTTGTAGCAACAAAGGGTGATATTGCTACTTTAATTTTTTTTTTTGTTTCGTCGGTGGAGGGATTCTTAGCCCTTTTTTTTTTTTTTTTTTACAAGTGTCGAAATTTGGTTTAATACCCCCCTGTAAAAATTTTTTTGTTTTTCCTTGCCCCCGCGTATTATTTCCCCCCTTTGACCCTTACCCCCCCTTTTAAAAACCCATTTGCCACTTTTTGCGTTTAACCCCATGTACCATATTGGAACCAAAGTTACCACCCCAACCCCCCCCCCATGAGGTGACGAAGCGGGTACAGGCGTGTGAGCATATTGGTACATATGATGTCATGGAGGTGCACGTGAACCTTAAGGCGAAGTTTTTTTTTTATACCATTGTTTTCCTACTTCCACCACGCGCATGCTATAAAATTTGTCCCCGCTTTCCCATGCGGTACCCCCCCTGTGAGCACGCTTGCGTAAACCCTTCTCGGCCTACGTGATCGCAAACTTCTTTTTTCATGAATCTTAATTTTTTCCCTCCATTTTAGCAGTGCTTACGGGTATTGGTTATATATATATATATTTATATATATATAAAATCCAATTGATTTTATTTTTTCTATCATGTTTTTATAAAATACATGGTACTTTTAGATTATTCATATGTTGGTATTATGCATTCCTTCATTTTTCGTTTCCAATTTTTTTTTTTTTTTTTCCCCTTTTATTTATCCCTTATTAGAAAAGCAAATAAAAAAATCCAGTCATTTTAACAGTTCGAGTTTGATTTTATTTGATAGAGCTTTACGTAAACTCTCTTTCATTGTTTAGATGTATATGTACGTTAGCCCAAGTTAGCCTCGTTTGCAAAGTTTGCCGCGTTCGCGATTGTGTTCCTTCTAAAAGTATTCGCAGCGCTCGCCGTTGCGTAGCCTGTTTTGAACAATCAAAATTGTGAATACCCCCAACCTGCGTGATGCGCAATTGCAGCGTTAAGCATATCCATATGAAAAGAGAGCAGGCGCAAAAAAGGAGGAATGCGAAAGTGAAAGCTTCTAAAGTGAAGGCGCAAGCGACAGCATATGCCCAACGTGGAAGCCGACGCTGAAGCCAACGCGGAAACCAACGCGGAAACCAGCGCGTGTGAAAGAGGAATTTATAATACCTGTTGCGTGCTCGCGTATGCCCGTGCGCTTGTTTTTATGTTTATGAGAAGCTGCTGGCTTTCTCAAAAGCGCAGCACGAGCAAAAGCAAGCGCGCTTGCGTTTGTTTCTATATATGTATGCCCATGCGAAGGCGCATAGAGCATACGTGTATGCACATAATATATATATTTATATGTACCTTTACGTGCATATGCCTCCACTCAAATGCGTGCCTGGACGCCCAGCCAAAGAAGCGTGTTCAATGCTTACGATTTAAGCCTTGTGCCTTTGGCGACTCGTTCCCGCGTTTTTATATGATAATACCATCTTATATTCCCCTATTGGGGGCAACTATACATTGTTCGTTTTTTATTATTTTTTTTTTTTTGAAACATGATCTGTATGCATATATGATTAGTTGAATTAAACGAATTATTTTATATATTTTTATTATTTTTTTTTTTGCATGTGTTCGTGTCTGCACACGTGCATATGCTGTACACGGGTGTATACATGTATATGTTTACATCACCCATTCGTCGTTTCATTCGCCCCAGCATCTTCACATTCGCACGCCTGATCATCCTGTACACTGGAGTGCGCATCTTTGTTATCTTTATTGAAGGAAAGAACGCAATAAAGAGTTGTACATAGGTAGCAAGCACATGTGTTACGAACATTGGTGGGTGTGACTGTATGCACCTCTTCCATGTATGATTTAGTTTGATTTATGACACACGAGCTTGCAAACATATGCTTATTTATTTACTCATCTGTATTTTTTTTTTTTTTTTTTTTACAACGTGCTAACTGCAATATTCCCCCCACCCACCCACACACACTTTGTTTATAATTTGTTATCCTCCCTTTTCCCTACATATCGCTTTTCATTTTCCCGAGTTTCCTTTTTAGTATACATATACATGTTCCTTTGTACATTCACCCGACGGACGTGGAGTGTTTCACACGAGTGAGAGATTAAGCATTATTGCCTCCGCGTCGTCCCATGCGTTTCACATTAGCAGTTTATCTGTTCATTTAGCAGCTAATCTTTTTTTTTTTTTTTTTTTTTATAACTCCTATCTCACCTTTTTGCAGTTTGTTTGAATGCTCATTTTTTTTTTTTTTTTTTTTTTTTTTGAGAGAAAAAAATAGCTAGCTTATATATATAGGCCCAAAATTGCGAGGAGCAAAATAGGCAGGCAAAAGTAGACCAAGTCGATTGCTCTCCCCCCCGCCCCGTCCTATGTGTGATTAATTATCCCGTGTATGAAAAGAAAAAAAAAAAAAAAAAAAGAAAGAAATGTGCTGAGTTTTGCCAACTTTATACATTTGCAATTTCATTTCCCCTTTATAGTTTGATTTTCATTTCCTTTTTTATGTGCGCCTACGTCGCGCTGCGTGTGTTGCTAATTAAATGAGGGTTTTTTTTCACACCATAATTACATTTAACGTTGTCAGTTGGCATTTCCACTTTAGCACTTCGAGTTAACATTTCCAGTTAACGTGAACCGCTTATTTTTTTATTATCTTACACTCACGCCCCTTTGTTCTTTTTTTTTTTTTTTTTTTTTTTTTGGATCGCGTCCTATGCAACCCACGCTCGTTGTTTGATCCTCTACATGTGCATACCTACCTGTATGACACCACGTATGCCCACGCAGCATTTGTTGCGGGCCAGTGTTTCATCCCTTCTCGCGCCATACCCCTGAGGTGTAGCATAAGCACACAGACACATATATATTATATATATATATATATATATATATATATATATATATATATATATATATTATACACGTACTCTTACATATGCATACACATCCGCGAGCACACATAGTCACATATTTCTTCTGCACTAAGAGAGTTCCTTTGGAGCGCTGTGGTTTTATGTTTCATTCGACATTGTTATATCACTGTGTTTCGATTTTTTTTTAAACCCCTTTGAGGTTTTTATAAGTTGTCATTTGTGAGCACAACAACCCGGGCTCACTTTTTATCGTACGCCCATTAGTCATCTTTGCGCCTGTTTATTATTCTCCCACACCCCCGAATACACATACCAGGCTACTCCAGGTCCATGCGAGTCTAATTCCACCTCCATACCCCTTTTTATGAATTTCATTATTTATTTATGAATTGGCTCCAGTTTGATATTGCTCCACCACTACAAGCAAACGGTTTCCATTGTGAGCCATTAAATTGAACGCCAAGTGGAAGAACGAACTTTCATTGTGCATGATCACAAAGTTGCATGTGTTTTATTTTTTTAATACGTGTGTTACACAACAGTGTGTGTACACGTTTTCGTGCCTAAGTAGTAAAAATAATAAAAAAAAAAAAAATAATAAATTAAAAAAAAAAAAAAAGAACCATCGCGTAAGCGAGTTTTAATTATTATCACCAGCTTCCAACCCTCCTGCTACCCTGTCACCTGAGAATACTGGAAATAATGGAAGGAGTGCCCAAAGAGTTGAATGCCCGAAAAGATGATCAGAGCGGGAAGAAGTCGACCCCTGCGAAGTCTAACGATGATGCTGCGCCTGTAAATGGAAAGGGGGCAGGTAAAGGCAGCAGCAGCAGCACCTGCAACAGCGCCGGAGCCACCGCGACCACTGGGACAAGTAGTGGGGGTGCCAGTGGTTACCTATTCAATTGGATAGATCGATTTAATAGCCTTAAAAAGGTTGAGAAGAAGGTGGAAGAAGAACAAAGTGGTAATGTGAAAGAGCCAAATAAGAGTAATGGTACCGACGAAAAAGGAGACATGAAAAAAGGACTGAACAATGCGAGTGGTGATGGTGATGCACAGAAGGGGCAAGATGCGGATCTCGTCGTTAAGAGTGACAAAGGCAGTGGTAAAAAGGGCCAAGAGAAAGCGCCCGAGAAAGGGGTGAAAGGAGGAGAAGAAGAAAACCGCAGCAAGGAAAGTGGAGAAAACGCCGTAGGTGTGGAGGCCAGCTGCGATAAAAGAAACCCCCAGGATAAGATCGACGAGGGAGCAAGTGAATCCGTTTCTTGTGACAATGGAAAGAAAGCAAATATGAAGGGAGCTCGAGAGAACAAGGAAAAGCCAACGAATGCTTCGGACTCTGTGAAGGAAGGAGATGCTGATACGAGCAACGATAGTGTAAGCAACAAGGCGAAGAGTGGCGGCCCATCCGATCGCGGCATCTCAGATCGTATTCTCTCCGACCGTGAAAGTGGAAACTGCAATGAGGACCCCTTGATTAAAAGTTTATGTGATAAGGAGCTGGCCAAGGTACAAGAACTAATTAAACAAATAAAAAAAAATGAAGAGCTGTACAATGACGAGCTAAACGGAGATCTGTTCTTCCTCTACGACGAGCTGTATCACACGCTCCTGGACCGCCTAGAGTCTGCAAACCTGAAAAATAAAGACATGAAGAAACTCATAAAAAGGGAGATGGAAAAGTTTAAGGAAAATCACAGCATTGTGTCGGACTACCTTAGGGGTTGCGAACACGAAGTGAAAGCGATGCTGGTGAGTTGTGGCGGTGATGCTGAACAGGCTGCTGAAAAATCGGACGAAAAATCTGGTGAAAAATTGGACGACAAATCAGCTGAACAGTCAGGTGAAAAATCGGGTGAAAAATCAGGTGAAGAGTCCCGGCAGCAGTCGGCGAAGAGCCAGCAGACACCCCCCCGGCAGCTCGACGAGGGAATGCTGAGTCAAGTCAAAAAGTCCTTTCACCAATATCTAGAGCAAAAATTGAAGGACGATTATTATGATCACAGCGCGTTGGAAGAGAATTTGCTACACAACAGAAATCTGAGCTTGCTCTTCCTTCTCTTTTGTCAGAAACACATTATCCATTTTGTGCAGGAGGTATTTTCCACCATGTGCATAATTGTTGAGGAAGGTGAAAAGTGCAAGACTCAAATGAGCTCCCTGTTGAAAAGACTCAACTGTATGAATCTCATTTTACATTTCCTAATCACGACGAATGAGCGGAACGGTGGTGTGGAAAACAGTGCTGTACATACAGGCGGCACCACTACTGCGTACATGCAAGGATTGCACAACGACATGATGATGTGTGTAAACGGAGTAACAACACAGGTGCGAATGGATTTGGTAGAGAACAAGGATTACATGGATGTCAAGCGGGAGACAGAGGAATTGGGTGAAAATGACGATCAGAATAACCACCTACACCCAGAGCTACATTTGCATCACCAGGAACTGGCGAACAAAACAAATTTCAGCGCATTAAGCAATGGGAGCAACAAAACCAGCAAAATTAATAAGCTTACCTTAAACAAGAAGACCTTCAACTACTTCCGAAAGGACATGAACGAAACACAAGTCAGTCTGTCCACATGCTTAACGGATACATCTGTTGTTGATAAGAAGGTGCGTGATAAAAATGGAAAGAAGAAAGTTATGAGTAATGAAAATGGTAGCAGCAGTGTAGTGGCCCCAAGCAGCGATAAGGGAGTGGGAGGCGTGCCTTCCCCTAAGAAGACACCTTATGAAAACACAGGCAGTGGTAGCGTCAGTGGAAGTGGAAAAAATGCACAAGGGAATGGCGTGACGAATGATTATTTCAGCGACATGATGGTTTACATTTCGTGGGTCCCCAAAAGTGCCCGGTGCCAGTACCCATTGGAGTTACCAAAAAACTCAGCAGAGAGAAATAAGCTAGCTGAATACATAGAAGCAAAGGAACAAATGCTTTACATTCTCAAACTCATGGGATATGAAGAAATTGATAATATATATTTTCACCCCCCAAAAGGATCTCATATCAAAATAAAGTTTAAAACTTTAGCCTGTATGAACAAATTTTTAAAGGCGTATAAAAATACCCCTGATAAATGGAAAGAGGATATGTTCAATTTTTTCAACATCCCTTTGAGAAGCAGCATATCCGTGAGGGACCTTCGAATTGAAAGAGCTGTCCCCAGATCCTCAGCTGCAGAGTTTAAGAAAATAAAAAAAATGAATAAAAATTATCAGGACTTGTTTTTATTCAAGGATAATTATAATCTTTGTGAGGATGGTAATAGCAGCACTTCCAAGATGGAAAAAGTGAACCTACATTACGATGCCTTTAATAAGCACATCATTGTACATAATAAGGGTGCAGGTAATGCAGCTGCTGCTACTGGTTCTGGTTCTGCTTCTGCTTCCCTTGGTGTTGTTCCTCCCACTGTAGCAGGTGCGGTGGTAGTAACGGATGATCACGAACACCACCACAATGGAGCAAGCACCCATGTTAGCCTGAAAAAAAATGTTGATCAGAGAAAAAGTATTTCCAAGATGAAGGGCATTATTGGATCAATGGGTGGTGACCTTAACTCTGGGGTTATGCACGGCATAGGTGGAACTCGATCTCCCCTCGACGACCTGCACAATGCAAATATGGCTTTGGGTATGGACGCTGCTAGTACCGCTTCGTATGGAGGCCTGGGCAGTTTTGGCGCTTTTGGAGGCGGAATTTCTAGCCCCATTTCCAGCGGCATGACGAACATTATTGGGGGGGGTGTCGGCACCAGTAGTAGCCACCTGAACGGCGCGGGCAATGGCATGAGCAGTGGCATCCATGCACACCACCCCTTCTCAGCACACAACAACACCAGTACCACCACCACCACGGCCACCGCAGTGATGATGCCTAATGGAATGCTCAACAAGGTTAGCGGCAGTAGCGGCAACTCGCTGCACGGAGTTTATATGGGTGGTAAAAGTGGAGCGAATAATATCAGAGATGAAGGAAGAACCTTCCTAGCAGGTACCCAGATGGGAAGTGGTGTGGTCAGTGGGGTTAGCGGTATGGGAAGTAGCATGGGAAGTAGCATGGGAAGCAGCATCAGTGGGCACTACGGCAGTCACATGGGAAGTCATTTAGGAAGTCACTTAGGAACGCATTTAGGCACCCACTTAGGAAGCCACCTCAACAGCGACACCTTCAACCACTGCTCGAGCGGCAGGATGCACAGCGGCTGCCTCAGTAACAAAGGAGGAACCGGAAAACCGAATTACCCCATTAACCATAATAACACCATGTGTACGTCCAGGAGCTCCTCGAAAAATTTGTACCTCATGAAGAGCGCCAAGAACGTGAACAGCAAAGGTAGTTGCATGGGATTGGGTAGCGGTGCGGCTGGAGGAGTAGGAGGGTCAGGATCCTTTCTGTCCACCTCTAAGTTCCTCGGTAGTGGCAATAGCAGCAACAATAACGGCATGCATGCACTAAACAAGGATTTCCTCACCAATGGAAGTTACACTTTAAAGAAGCAGACCCACTATGCATCCTTCTCAAATAACTCCAACGGAAATATGAACTCTCTGAGTGACCATATGTATGCCTTCAATAGTAGCGGGGGAAGTACGACCAACATGAATGGATTAAACGGGTCTAATAATGCAAATCGTATGAACGGATTAAGCGACGTTAACGGTGTACACACAATAAATGGAGGCGTCATTGGTAGCAGCGGCATAGGTAGCCACAATTATGGAAGCAGCAATATCCGCGTTAATACCATTAACAATAACACACAGCTGAGCAACAACAACAGTAATAATAATTCTACTAGAGGGACACAAAACGAGACCACCAGTTTGAATCACTTCTCCACCAGTGCAGCACACCTGGACGCGGCGACACTGACTAAGGAAAAAAATTATTTGCGTGGGTTTAAAAATTGCTACATGGGTAGCTTTGGAGGAGGAAGCGCTTATTCAGAGAACAACCTAAACAACAGCTGTACCAATAGTTGTAGTAACAGTCACGGGTTGATTGGATGCTCTCATGGAAGAGTCGGCGGGGCAGAGTCGTCTTTGAAGTCTCACAATGTAAGTTGCAACGACAGTGGAAGTGCTAGTGGTGGTAATTGTCCTAGTAATAAATACGGATCCGATGTAGCTAACCAAAAGTATGGAACCCAAAATGATGATATGAAAGAAGATTTTAAAAATTTGATCAACATAGATTTTATTAATGACATTGATATGGACTTTGACGAGAAGAACAATGATCATATGTCCGTGCACAATGCCAGTGACCACAACAATGGAAATGTGTACAAAGGGTTCCACCACCTTCATAATAGGAGCACGAATAATGGCAAGCAGTTCAACGCGTTAGGCAGTTGCATGAGCGAAGGACTCCTGAGCGGCAGCGCCACGTGTGTGGGAAACTGCCTGGGAGAAACGTGTGTAGGCAGCTGCAACGGAAGCAACAGCATAAAGGCGCGCGACTTTGACAAGTTCGAAAAATTTGACAAGTTTGAAAGCTACGACAAATTTGAGAGCTATGATAAGTTTGACAAATTTGACAAGTTTGACAAATTTGAGACGTATGATAAGTTTGACAAGTTTGACAAATTTGAGACGTATGATAAGCTCCCCTTTGAGAACATGAACCACGAACCCAGTTACCGCATGAACGGAGAGGAAGATGAGGAGGGCGAAGAGGTGGATGCAGATGCAGAGGCACAAGATGTAGATCACTTCAACGACGAAATGAACCTCAGCGGAAACCAGTTTGCCCACTCCAATGCCACTCTAAGTAACAAGAATAAAATTGCAAGTGCCTGTGGAGTCACTGTTGATGATCATCGCACTGGGATGATCTTGTCTGAAGGTTTCAACAACAAGTACTTCTGTGAAGACAATCCAAAAAGTTTATACAATTATTATAATAGTCCTAGCGGAGGTGGTAGTATAGGAGGAGGAATGCTTGCTCACACTACCTCCACAGCCACCACTGGCAATAAGAGTAGTTTGCACGTGAATTTAAGCACAAGTGGAAACAGCGCACATAATGGGAGCTCAGCAATGTTGGGGGAAGCTACCTTGAGTAATAATAATTATAGTGGAGTTATGGAGCCATCAGAGAATGGCATAGTTACTTCTTCTGCAGCAAATGGATTAGCCAATTCCTCTGGTAACTCTACCACCAACTCAGTTGGCAACAACGCCTTGACGAACACCGGCTCTTCCCTTTACCGAAACACCTTGACCCCTAAATTGTACATTGATGCCATCCCCGTGAACAATACCTTTGGAAAATATGATGAGGGAAATTTTTGTGACGTAAAGAAGGAAGACAAGATGAGAGCAGCAGGAGCAGCAGCAGCAGCTGCTGGAGTAGGTGATTATGATTTAAAAATGAGCGAAGAGGATGCAAATAAAGGCTTTTTAAGTTACTCCTTTCAATCATCACGTGTCGACAATGAGCAAAGTTTTTCAGACAGTTACGTTAACTTCTTTTGATTTATCCCCCCTTCTCTTTTTCCCTCTCCTTTAAATCGAGATAGAGACAGGGAAATTTGGACTATGAAAAAAAAAAAGACGAGGAGATCGGATAGACTCTTTCTCTCCTGTGCATTTGAATAGCCAATGCCATTTTGGCATTTTTATACCCCAGTTGTGTTTACGCGCAACGAGTCACACACACACATATATATGTATATATATATAAATAAACAAGGAAAATATATATAATTGGTACCTTTTGGTATGTTTTTTATTTTTTTTTATTTTTTTTATTATTTTTCATTCGAAAGTCGAAACTTGTTTAGTCCGCATTTGTGAACATATATATGAGCCACACAAGACACAACACACCTTTTTTTATCTTGATCGGTTGATTGATTTACCCCTGCCGAGGTTGACATTTGAAATTATTTTTTCTTTTTTTAATTCATATGAAGAATGCGCCCCTTTTTTGAGGAGTCATCCCCCTTATATCCATATTTTAGTTTGGTTATTTACTGCGGCTAAATCGGGAGTGGCACGTTTGTGCGAGAACGGGAAATTTATCCCGGCCCTTTTTTTTTTTTTTTCCTTTTTTTTTTTTTTTTTTGAAGTTTGAGAGATGCCTTATTCAGTTGTATATAAGTATCTATGTGTGTACTTATTTATTTATTCTTATTTATTTGTTTATTTTTATTTTAATTAAAATTAAAGAAAAAAGAAACTAGCTAAATTTAAAAAAAAAAAAAAAAAAAAAAAAAAAATAGCTGTATCGGTGGAGGGTAAAGAATTACACCCCCCCGTTACCTTCCTCCTCGTATCATCACCGCCATTTGGGAAGAATCAGACTGGCATGCAGGGGGGAACAAGTGCCTTGTCCCCGCGGCGCCTAGACATTACTACGCTACTTCCCTTCTTGCATTCACTTAGCCTCGGTTACTCTGCAAAAATCATTCGTGCTTGCGAATTGGGGCATCCCTGTGTATGTAACACACATGCAATTGTGTTAGGCATCCCCCTCCCTTTTGTTCCAATGTTCAGTTTTAGCTTTTTTCCCCGGTGTGAATTTTTCATGAGGGGGAGCTACTCACATGCTGTTCGATTAACTGTAACTTGCAAGCGCAGTGTGTCAAAACGCGTTTGGATGATCTTCAACGGGGGGGGGAGGACATTTTTTTCCAAAAATGGGTAGCCCTTTTTTTGTTCTTTTTTGAGTGCGAACTTGTTTTTCTCCTTCGTGTGGCAAACCAAGTGGATGGGGGGTCATCTGCAGCGGCGCACCTGAGTAGGCAACACACAACAAGCTTACACAGGTCGCATATATGATTGCATCGCCTGTTTGTAGGTGTCCCCAATGTACATACAAATAATGCCGGTGCGTAAAATGTCCTTGGACCACTCTACCCCTCCTTTCACTTTACTGTCCCCTTGGAAACAAAAAAATCCCCCTTTTGGCCAAACGAATTTTCACTCGTCGGGTGAGGGGAGAGGGAGGAAACCGAAGTGGAACATGTTTTCTCACCCAGAAAAAATTGCAAAAAAAAATGCAAACAAAATAAAAATAAAAATCCCACCGCTTCTTCCTTAAACATTGTCCCCATCCGTATGTTATTATACCCAGCCGTTCTCTACACTGTATAAACTTGCGAAAGGGGGGTGGTGGGGAGAGGGAGACGCACATGACACCTTTTCCCACTTTAACCCATTTTTATACCACGTCATTTGCGCTTCCCACCCCTAAATATGCTGGACGAAAGGCAAAGAAACCTACAGAGGTACTCTTTATATTTGGAAAAGAAGGACCTCGTTTTTAAAGGGAAGAAAAAAAAAAACGATCTAAAGAACATTTTATATTTCCCATCTTTGTTTTGGTTCAATGGGCAGTTTTGTCCCCCCATTCCCTACTTCACTTTTGACCAGCATGAGGAAAAGGGAGGGGCAGGAGAAGTGGGGACAACACCATACCCGGAGGAAGAAAAAAAATCTCCATTTAAAGTAAAATTGGTTGATTTCCTAACCTGTGGGGTCCACAAAAACAGTGTCATTGTAAAGAGAGTTGTAAAAAATGAAGTCTTGAGCGTAAGTATGTTTAGCGACATGAAAGTTGTGTCGTGCGTTTTTTATGTCAACATGGAGTATGTACTTGGTCTGGGTCCCTTCTTTGGCACAACCAGGAATCCATTTTTTTTTTGTTTATCCTTGGCTACTTTGGGGAAGGAGAGTTCTGAAACGGGGGAGACTCGGCTAGGGGCCCATGAGGCAACAAAAGGGGGCAAGTGGCCAGACAGAGAGGCAAAAATGGGATCGTCTTCAGATCCCCTTGGGAGGGAAAAAAACTCCTTACTCAGCTGCGACCTAAGAAACGCCCTGGACACGGCCCCTCCAGAGCTCCTCCTCTACAACGAAAAGAAAGAAATACACCTCTTCAATTATATAACAAACAAATCTCGTTTAATCACAAGGGAAAAAATACCAGTGACGGCACTACAGTATACCTTTTTGCACATAAGCGAACACAACAGTCTTTACAACCAAATGGAGACAGATGTGTATGAGGGGAGCATAAGGATTGTGGACCTCGACCAAGTGGAGAAGCAGATTTGGAATAAGAACCGATACTGCTTTGATGTTCTGCAGGGGTGGCTCAGCGGGGCTAGGGATGGACAGGAAGCATGTAAGGGAATCCCCTGCGGGCAGTGTCGCGTGCACAAAATTGTGAAGCGGATGTTCTACGTGCTTATATATGGAGACACCGAAGGAAACGTTTACTTCTTAATCCCGGAGAAGGAAATAAAAATAAAAAAAAACTTCAGAAGAGGGGAAAAAATACACCTCATCGAGACCAACGTGAAGGCCTACTTGAACGCCGAAGGTGGTGACAGCCGCATAACGACTGCGTTGCGAAGCAATGTGCATGTCTTTTTAGCCTACAGGGACTGCATCTTGGTTTTTAATTTGCCCTTGTATGAACCCCTTTTCGTGGTGAACGTCGCGAATGAGGTGATCTTCTGCCTCAGTGCCTGTCTTAGCGAGAGCGGTGAGGTGTACTTCTCCTTCTCCACGCAGAGGTGCGTCAGAATTGGGGAAGTCTCGCGGGGGGGCGAGGTGGTGCATGTAGAGCTAGACGCCACCCAACTGGATAACATGAAAGAACATGCTGCGGAGGGTAGCGCAAACCCAGTTCAGCACACTGGGAACCCCGTACACAACTCCAAGCAGCAAAAGAGCCACACTTGCGTGTGCTTTGGAAGGGACAACGACCTCTACATAACAAGTGGCGACACGGGAACAATCCACAAATATAATTTGAAGCAAAAACAGATCACTCATAAGTATGACCCCCGATGTAAGAGAATCTTTCATTTGTCCATCTGCACGCTGAATGGAGAAGACTTCGCATACGTATACGACGCAGAGAAGTACCTTTGTCTTTTCCAATTCAGCAACCAAAAAAACGTGTACAAAGTTTTTACCCTTTCTGTGTGGGTCTATCAGATTCTTTGTTTTCGAAATAACGTCATCTTCTCCCTTGGAAATGAAAACGTGTACCATCTGGAGGTCAAAAAGGACGGCGGCGGGGGGAGCAGCGGGGGGAGTGACGGCGGGAAGATGCGCCTCGCAAAGCCGTTCTACTCCCAGCGCATGAGCGTCTGCACGTACCTGACGAATCATCTACACCTACCACTCGTAGCCTTTGTAAACAAAAAACAGCAGTTCGGTTTTTTTTCCCTCATGGATGCTCAAAGGAGAAGTGTGACTGTCCCGCCCATACGAGAAAATGAAAATGTCTTTTCTCTGTGTTGGTTTAGTTCAAGGAAGGAATTGGAGGTGGTCGATTTTGATGAGGCGGGTAGTGACGATCTGACTGTTGGAGATCCCCTCACACTTAATCAGTTTACACATCAACATAGAGGAACGAAAAATAAAAAGAAGGACGACAATGTCCGAATCAATACACACATGGCACACCTAATACAGAGCAACCCTTACGATACATACCTGGCTGTGGTGAATGAAGACACGTTGTTCCTTTATAACGTCCTGACCAACCAAGTGACAGATTTAAAGAATTATTTGAAAAAGGCAATGCCAGAATTTTATGGAAAAAAAAATTTTCTCAAATCTACGATTTATGAAAAAGTATGTTACGTTTTTATCTTTTCAGAAAAAAATATGTTTTTTATCTTTGACCAATATTTCACATGTTGCTTGCGAACCATAAGTGTAGATGATCGCATTATCCGCTTCTACCTTCGCGATGGGTACCTCTTTATTCACTCCAACACGTGTATTTATTTTACGTCCATAAGGAACGCGCTTTCCCTCTTTCCTGAGTTAGCCCGACAGGGAGGAGGGGCGGATACGCAGGCTCAAAAATTATTCTTCACCAAGGTGGATACGGCAGAAACGTTTAAAATTGCTCTTTTTGATTTTCTCTGCCTGGGGGAAGAAACGTACTTTGCTGTTTTTACCAAGCGGAAGGAGATTCTTGTGTATAGGATGCGCACGCGGGCAGGCGACGACATCGGGGGGGGCCACAACATTGCGCAGGGACACAACATCGCGGAGGGCGCGAGTGCGGACGGCGGTAACGAAGGGGAAGGCAATAAACAAGGCGACGGCGGCGACGCGAGTGCGGACGCCCAGCTGGTAGCCCAGTTTCTCAGTTTTTACAAATTCGAACACTTAAACAAAGTTGGAAGCATCCTCAGCATGAAGTTTTTTTACTGTTTCACCAAAAGGCGGGCGTACTTAATTTTCGGCGGCCTGGAGCAGTTTCTCTTTTTCTGGGACTTTCTCAAGTACCCCCTCGTGCGCCGGGGAGGGGGCGACGTGAAGAGAATCAGCGCAATGAGCGGCTTGAGCGGTTTGCGTTAAAGTGGGTGTAGGAAGATGGGCAAACAAAAGGAGGGGCGACGTCTGTGTCACGTGGACATACCCAGCTGCCACCCCGCGGGCATCACCGAATGCTCACGTCGTACGTGCGAACGATCTCGCTCACCAACTTTTCGTGCAGTTCCTTCACGAGGCCTCTAAAGGTGTGCTGATCCTGCGGAAGGGGGGGAAACGGAGGCGGTTGTGTGTGGATCATGAAGGGCTTATAGTAGTGAGTTGTGACGCGTTGCGCTGGATTATGCCGCTCAACTTCGTTGAACCGAGCGACCTACCCGTATGCTCGCCGGCGCGGCGTACAGAAACTTGTATGTGTAACTGGTCCTGCCAGAGCCTTCATGCGTGAACACATCGAGAAGTAGAATCCGCTTGAGCAAACGACTGCCTTCCACAGGGGGTGCAAACTGAAGAACCGTTTTTGTGAAGAGCTCCGTGTCCCACTCCGAGTTGACATAAAAAGACACATCTCTCTCCTCGTGCCGTACATTATATAAATTTAAAAAGTACAGAAATGAGTCGCTCTTTGGTCGATTCGGATCCCTTTTCCTCGACAACCGATTCAGTAATGCATTCCTCAAATGGGTTCCCTCCAACTTTGGGGAATCTACTAGGATGTTTTCATCACCGATGGGTCCTCCCGTAACGGCTGGCCCATTTGTTTGAACCGATACATCTCCATTTGTGTCTCCTCCTGGAATATCATCATGTCCAATCATGTTTGTAATTGTGCCTTTTCTCGAACCCTCTGTGTTCGTTTTTTTTGTAAATAAAGTATTCCCTCCCGTGTTCGTAATGTACAAATATAGGTCACGTATTCTGTTGACCTCCCACATTATCATGGCGATTCTATCTAACCCTAACCCTATGGCTAAGTAATCACCTACATCATACTGCTTCCATTTGCGAAACAGGATTTTTTGCTTTAAAATTCCACAACCCAAAATTTCAACCCATTTGTCATTGTGATAAAGTTCTGCTTGCAAAGAATGATTGGTAAAATCGAAGGAGTCTTTCCTTATCCTCCATTTGTGTGTCCTTCCAAAAATTGAGTCCAGCATTGAACAGAGAAAATACAGGAGCTGTTTCTTTTTTCCTACCAGTTCGTTTTTTATTTTTATATATATATCCATTTGGTTAAAAAATGGAAAGTGCAATTTGTCAATATTGTCTTTTCTGAAAACGTTGGAGATGATGAGGAAGTTTTCTGTTTCTCTGTCTACCTGTGGCGGCGCGAAGAGGGACTTTCCTGGCCTTGATGTTTCTTCGCTTCGGAGTGAAGTTTGGCAATACTCACGCAAGGCGAGACGGGGCACTCCCTCCTCCCCCTCCGCTGCTTCTTCAACCGTGCATTCACTTTGTATGACCGTTTGGTTGGTGGGTATATCCCCATTTAGTGTCCCTGCCCCACGCTGTGGAACGTGTGTCCCCGTTTGTTCCCCCCTTAGCAAGTGACACACATGGGGAAAGAGAGACGTCGCCTGGGGGATGTACAAAAGGGAGTCTGAAAAGTAAAAGTTATTCCTCGCAGACGTGGTATCATTCGTGTTTTTAATCAAAATATCATTAAAGCATAAATTTCTTTGGTACAGTGGGCACTTGTTATAAACTACCCAGAAGGCAGACTGCCTTTTCAGGTGATCAAGGATCTTCGTCGTTACATGGTGGATGGGATGATTCTTAATGGTGTACACATATTTAAATCTGCCATAATTGATTATGTCATTTTTTACATGGTAACTGTTGCTCAGTTTTGACAACGTGAACTTACTTATGCAGTGGTGAGGGGGGTTGTTAAGGCCGCTGTAGCAGCGCCTAAGTTGCGTGGAAAAGGCGGCTAATAGGAAGGTGTGGAGAGCAAAGAAGAGGCGCATTTCAGAGGTAGGAAAAAAAGGAGAGAAGGCCGCTGGGGAAGGGAACTACGGAAAGAAGCCGCAAACAGAACCAAACGGCGGAGTTTCATAGTTCCTTCCACTTATCCCCATTCTGCATTTTGTCAAAATTGAAAAAACAAAAATGCCTGAATAGTCAGCACAATTTTGCGCATTTCAACAAAATGGCTATTTTTTTTTTTTTTTTTTCTCAATTATGCCTGAACCATTCATACAAAAAATGGGGCAATTTGCTCCCTCGCGTCGTTCTTCAGTTTGTTCTCCAGTTCGCGCTGCTGTTCTCGGGTAAGAGGGCGCACAGAAAGGGGCATACACACATGGGTGCCGCAGCCTGCGAACAGGTCACTCTCGACAAGTGATGCGCGACACACGACGTGCGACATGTGCGACATCCGGATGGGGTGAAACATGCTGCTGTGTCGCTGGTCTATATGACATGGCTCTGCGCTCGTTAACATCGCTGCGCTACTCGAGTAGAGAAAAGTGAATTAAAAAAACCAAGAATGCAAGGCTCAAATTCGCCATGGAATTTTCCCGTTTTGAGATTCATACCACCCCGAGTGTGCGAAGTGTGGGGGGAATTTTGCGTGAGTAGATAAATAAAAACGAAGGGGTGAATAAACCGGCGCGCTGTTAACACGCGTGATCAGGTGAACAATTAAACGCATGGACTAATGCAGGATTGATTAATTATCTTAAAAAAAAAAAAAAAAAAAAACAGGCACAGGGGTACTCTCCATGCAAAATGCAAAAGTACAACTGCGCGTGTGCATGCATACACACGTTTGCTTATTTTAAAAGGAGTCAAAAAAAAAAAAAAAAAAAAAAAAAAAAATGAACGGCGGCAATGTGGAGGAACCTGGCTGTGGGAAGTCCTGACAAGGGGCACAGAAGAGAGAAAAAAAAAATATTTAAAAAGGAGTAAAAAAAAAAAAAAAAAAAAAAAAAAAAAATTGACAGGGAAAAATAAAGCGGCTTAAGATGGGGGAGGCACAAAGGGTACCATGTTCATGTCCATTCTGCTAATTTGTTCGATCTGTCCTCTGTGCTAAACCGTGTGAGTCTACTTCCCACTCGTGGAGGTTGCACCCACCGTTCTCTGATCCCTCCCCCCGCTACACACACAAACAACCTCTTACTCATCGTAGTTGTAGCCGTCGTCTTCATCCTCCTCTTCCTCCTGTACGTCGTCCTCCTCATCATCAATATCATCCTCATCTTCCTCTTCATCATCCTCGTCGTCCTCTTCATTCTCCAGGTCATCCTCATCCTCATCCTCATCATCGTCCATATGGTCTAGTTTCCTCCTATACGCTCCAGCCCTTCTATGCTGCTGCAGGTAGTTGGGTGAGCTGATGCTTGAGTCGAGGATTCCCTTGTCCTTCTTCTCACTGTCCACCATCATACACTCTGTCGTCAAAACCATACTAGCTATACTACAGCTATTTTTAATAACACTTATAATAACATTGGTACTGTCAATAATTCCATTTTCAACCATATTCACAAATTTGTTTGTATTAACATCATACCCAAATCCGTATTTGTCTTGTGAATTCAAAATAATTTTCACAACGTTATCTCCATTGACTCCAGCATTATCTGCTATTTGCTTGGTAATTACATCTAAGCTGCTGACTACTATATTTGCTCCCATTTTTCGGAGTTCCAATTCAGATTCTAAGTTACCCACTAGATCTAAATATTTCTTATCTTCTTGGTTTCCTGTGTTTTTAAGTTCTTCTTCAATTTTCTTATGTATTTCGTTTAAGAAATTTGATTTGATTATTTCTAAATAGGTGACTCCTCCTCCTGGGACATACCCAATGTCGATAGCACTCTTCACTGCATTGGTTGCATCCTCATATTTAAACTTCCTCTCTTTCTGTTCCGTTTCTGTATTTCCTCCGATTAATATTTTGGCAATACCACCTGACAAGGCAGCTATTCGCTCATTTAATTTTTCCTTGTCATACTTAGATGTCGTTTCTTCAAACTCTTTTTTTAAGACTTTAATTCTGTCGTCTATTTGATTCTTGTATTCCTCTTTGGTGATTAAACTGGTTCTATCTTTTTTTACAATGAGTGTATTTGCACTTCCCAGCAGCGTCAGGTAGTTGTTGTCAAAGGAGCTCATGTTGTTGTGGAGGTTGTTCAGGTCCAGACCCACGTCCGCACTTATGTATTTGCTGTTCGTCACGATGCACAGATCCTTCAGGTAGTCCTTACGCCTGTCTCCAAACGAGGGCGCTCTTATGGGTACCTGCAGCAGGGGGGTGGGTGGGGGTTATTAATGTTAAAAGGGTTTTCTCACGCAAATTGCAAGGCGGCCCACCGGGACGCGATTTAGAGTAAATACGGGACTCTCCTGAGTCGCGCACATGGACGGATGCGCCGCGCTCGCTGCGAACTCCTTCGTCGGAAGACGGCGCCACGAGGAGGACTTTGCCCCCTGGGTTTTTCCCCCATGCATGTGAGAGGGCGGTACCATAGCAAGTTAACCCTGGCTTAAGGGTTACTCCACTTCTGCACCCTCTCTGGTTTTGTTCTGTCTCCACTTTTTTTTTTTTTTTTTTTTTTTTTTTCGCGCAAAAAAAGGGGGTGAAATTTGCGCGCTATACGCGTGGAGAGGGGTAGCAGCGGCGTAGCGGCGCAGCGGCACAACAGGGTATTCGCTTCGCAGCGTAACCGCTTCTGAACTTGGCCACTTCTCAGCGTATCCGCTTCGCAGCGTAACCGCTTCTCATCTTGGCCGCTTCTGAACTTACCACTTTGATGGCGCCCTTGAGCTTGTTTATGATGAGCGTCTGGAGGACTTCGTTGCTGAAGTCGTCGGCGATGATGCAGAGTGGCTGCTTGTTCTTAGCAAAAATTTCCAAAATAGGTAAAATGGATTGAATATTATCAATATTCTGATCCGTAATGAGGGTAGACACATTATTATATTCTATGTGGTCTTTATTTTCATTGTATAAAAGGTAGGGGTTAATAATTCCCCGGTCAAAATTATAACCTTCTGTGAATTCTAATTTGTCGTTAATATCTGCATTGTCGTCTAAAATTATTGCAGCATTTTTCCCGAGCTTGTCATAAGCATTTGCAATGATGCTTCCCATATGTGTATCATTATTACTAGCTATGGTGGCGATGTTTAAAATGTCCTTATACGTTTTAATTGGGGTAGATAATGATTTAATTTTTTCTATAATCATTTTTGCAGCTATTTGTATTCCTTTTTGTATGGGGATAGGGTTGTGATTTTTATTCACTTGTTCAATTCCTTTCCTTGTGATGGTAGCTGTCATTAGTGCTGTGGAACTTGTACCATCTCCTGCTTTGTCATTAGATATGTTGGTACTCTCCTGCATTAACTTGACTCCATTATTTCTCTTCCTATCCTTTAATGAGATATTTTTTGCAATTGTCACTCCATCATTAATTATTAATGGGCTTCCATATTCTTTTTCCAGGAGTACATTTCTTCCTCTAGGACCCAAAGTTAGCTTCACTACATCTGAGACAGTTAAAATGCCTCGTAATAATTCATTACGACATTCATTTCCATATATAATATCCTTTCCCTTCACTTTATTTTCAGTCATTTTAGCTCTCACGTAATTTTCCTTCCTTCTGCTTATCAGTTTGCTGTTGATATATTTGAGCTTTTTGTTCAGGAGCCCTCTGCGCTTGCCGCATACTCCTCTTTTCCGCTTAACGCTTTTCCCACACTTGAGCAGGCAGCCCAGAAGGGCCACTAGTAGGAACACTACGGCGGGCCTCAAGTTCATCTGGTGGGGAGAGAGTAGCCTTATTTTTGGGGTGGAAGAGATTGCTTCTGCAACCTTATATTCGCCTCACTGGGTTTTTTTACCTCCTCACCACTCTTTTAACTGTGTGGAAGCGAACCGCACACTTTACCCCTCCTGCCGTTTCTTACACCTGACAAAGGTGTGTATAAGCACGTACACAATTCTTGCACGTAAACTACTCTTGTACGCACAACGCTACCCTTGCCCGTTGAGCGAGGCGACGGCGCAATCACTGTTTAGGACTACTCCTAGGTGACACGCTCATGTGTAGAAAAAAAAAAAAAGGCCAAAAAGGGAGAGCATACACTTGAGCGAAATTACACCTATATGATGTGTCACTCCACAAAAACCGGGAGCTTCAACAAAATAAGTGTTACACGTTAATGCCAAGTGAACTCGAATTACACTTTGTGCCTCGAGTAACGGCGATGTTATTGTCATGCGTAGGGAGGGGCGTAACTCCGCGGTTGGAAAGTCGCTTGTGGAGATTTGTTCGCAGTTTTCTTTTTTTTTTTTACTTGGTTAGTATATACGTTGTACTTTGGGGGGGCACAGGAAAAAAAGAAGAATCAACTGCGTTGTGTCATGTGGAAAGGGGTAAAAAAAAAAAAAAAAAAAGAAAAAAAAAGGAGAGCACTTGCGAAGGAACAAGCAGTATGCAAACGCAAGAGTAAAAAGAAAAAACATGTGCACGCACATGTGTCACCTACGAAGGAACGCTTTTCTTTTCTACCCGTTGCGGGGGGGGCAGGACCACTACATGAGAAATATTAAGCCACTTGCTCCATTCAAATGTGCCCCCGCTTTTTCTACATAATAACAGGCAGAATCGCCTCCCACGGCGTCGCGGGAAGAAGTGGGGGCGACGTCACCGGTGCGCGCTTTGCTGCACCCCCCTCCTACGCACGGGACTGGGGCTACTTTCTCCCGTAGGTTAAACCCATGTCGCCGGTCTCCCATAGGCTAATTCAACCTGATGCTCTCCCGGAGGTCACTATTGCGGAGGTTACTATGGCGGAGGTTGCTCTCCCGGACACTACTCTCCACCTCGATGCTCCCTCTTCATATTACCTCATATCGATCCTCGCTCCTGTTCCCCGGTTTGGCCCCCTCAAGCTTGTGTGCACAGCCTGGCCAAGCTCCGGTACCCTTCATTTTTGCGACACAGGGGGGTGGAGTGGGCACAACCTCCCCAATGTTGTGCTTTTCCCACGTGCGTATCTGTGCTGGGCTTGTTTCAGGTTTGGACTCCAGCCAGTGCACAAGGGATCCCTCCGAGTGTCATCCTTCGCTTGTTTTCCGGTTGGCCTACCCGGGTTAAAACACGCCCCTAAATAGGTTACTCCCCCCCGTTTGGCACATCCTCAGATTCGTATTCCCCGCAATGATATATTTTTTTTTTTTTTTTTTTCACGCACAAAAGTATGCCTCCTTTATGTGCATGTTTTTCTCTGTGCCTTTGCTCCATTCTGCGTGAACGCGTTTGTCCCCACAACTTACGGCCTCACAGTGTGATCACTTGCCAGGTCGATCGCTTTGTTCGTTTCCCCACCGGACTAACCACACCACGCGGACTCGAATAAGTGAACAGAGCGGCAGCTAGCTAGGGTTTTTACATGCCTTCACAAATCTGTGTTTTGAACGCTTATGTATACGTGCGCCATGTCGAGCGGCACACAAAGGATGTGTGTAATCCCTTTTTAAAGAGCTAAGAGCCCTCCCCAAATTTACGCACACCTTATCTGCGCATATCTTTACACACAATTGGCCAGCGGCCCACCAACAACCCCTACGACATACACCATACACCATAGACGCGTCCCCCAGTGAGGCCTCAAAATTTAATTCCCCTTGCAGTTTGTACAAGCGGGAAGAACAGGGACCAGGGCGCCATCCCCCCCCCCAAAAAACGTATCGCGCCGCCCCCGTCCGTAGGTAAGCCCACACGTGTGCAAACCTCGCACATTTGTGTTGAGCGGCAAATTCTGGCGGCATAGCGGCGAAACGGAAAAATAAAAAAAAGCGAGCACAGAGAAGGAAGCGCAGCACGGCGAAAGAAGCATATAACACCAACAGCGCTCGTTCCCCTTGCGCGCACGTCGCACGTATGCGGTAATCCCCAACCGCGTCTACTTCCCCCCCCCCTCTTCTTTGCAGAATTTAAAATTTCAAAATGAACGCAGTTGTGAGCAGAACAAGGGTCGTCTTTTTTCCTGGCCGGAGGCACTTTTCATCAAAGAAGGAGTAAACCCGACTTGAGTGCGCCACGGGCAGGCGACCGGCGCTGCCACGCGCAATATCGAATTGTGTTTTACACTGCGTAAATGTTGTTTCGCGTAGCCCTATGTCTGTCCCATTTTGTTGCATCACATTTGTTGTGTCACATGTGATGGCCGATTTACTTCCCACTTGCTTCCCCTCAGCTACGACGTGATCGTGATAGGCGGCGGCCCAGGGGGGTACGTGTGCAGCATCCGGTGCGCGCAGAATAAGCTGAATGTCCTTAATGTGAACGAAGACAAGAAGCTAGGAGGCACCTGCCTGAACCGAGGCTGCATCCCTTCCAAGTCCCTCCTACACATTGCACACAATTATTATGAGGCAAAGAATAAGTTCAAGCAAAGCGGTATTATCATTGACAATGTACACCTAGATGTGGAGACGATACACAAGCACAAAAACAAATGCATGGGGAATCTAGCTGATGGAATAACGTACCTGTATAAGAAGAACAAAGTTAATCACCTCATAGGACATGGAAGTATCGTAGATGCCAACTCTGTTTTGGTAAACAGTGAAGGGAAGGAGAAGCTGGTGACGGCAGAACGCATTGTTATCGCTACAGGGTCGAAGCCAATAGAAATTCCATTAAAGAAGTTGAATGATGATAATGCAAAGGAGGCAGAAAATGTTGAGGACCTTTTACATTATGATCACCAGGTTATACAAACGTCAGATGATATTCTTAATTTTAAAAAGATCCCGAATAAAATTTCTATCATTGGTGGTGGTGTCATTGGATTAGAAATAGGTTCTGTTTTTGCCAAAATGGGTTCAGATGTCACTATTTTTGAGTATAACAACAGATTGTGCACTTTTCTAGATGCAGATGTAAGCAAAGTGCTCCAGAAAACACTTGAAAAAATAAAAATAAAATTTGCTTTTAATACATCCGTAATAGGAGGTAACGTAGAAAATGAGGAAGCCACTTTATTTGCTCAAAACACAAAGACAAAGGAAATACAAAAAGTAAAATCTGATGTTGTTCTAGTCTGTGTTGGTAGAAGAGCCAATTTTGACAATCTTAATTTGGAAAAAGTGAATATCGAGTTGGGAAAAAATAAAAAGATTCAAGTCGATGAGTCCTTCAGTGTTATATCCCATCCAACTATTAAAGCAATTGGAGATGCCGTCGACGGACCTATGCTTGCACACAAGGCAGAGGAAGAAGGATACCTCTTGGCCAATATCCTATTCAGCGAATTGAAGTTAAACAAGCCACAAAAATCACACATTAATTATGACCTCGTACCAAGTGTTATATATACTCACCCGGAGGTAGCCAGCGTAGGTCTAAATGAAGAGAGGTGCAAACAAATGAATCTCTCATTCAAGGCTGTTACCTTTCCCTTTGCTGCTAACAGCAGGTCCAGAACAATTGACGATTTTGATGGGCTGATTAAACTCCTCGTTGAAAATGACTCTAACAAAATCCTGGGCTCTCAAATTATTGGAAATAATGCTAGCGATTTGATTCTGCCTTTGTCCATTTATGTTGCCAGCGGAGGGTCCTCCAAAAGTCTGAGTGAGATTATTTATGCCCACCCCACCTTCTCCGAGGTCATCAAGGAGGTCGCGCTACAGTCCTTCGACAAGGCCATCCACATGTGAGTCTCTCCATCGTGCATTGCCGTAGGGGGAGAGAAGCGTGGGAGACACACACTCGCATTGTTTTCATACACGCGGCAGCGGCGCCCGGACGTTCTGAATATATATCAGTGGGTGTGTACCTACTCTTGTGTGCAATAATGCCTGCACACCTTAACCCGACGCGGAGGCAGCTTTTTTTTTTTCTTTTTTTTCGCCGAGGCGGAAGGGACACTCGAAAAGAGCCTCCCGTTGTGAAGCATAAAGTCACTCCACTTCGATGTGTGTACGACATAGCAGCACCGAAGTTTGAATAAACTCCATTGCGATGCGCACAGCATAACTGCTCCTTAGCTTGCTTTCAAGCGATTACAAAGCGCCCGAGCGTGGCACAGTATGCAAAAACGAAACGGAAAGTTATGCCCATATGGTGAAACGTGTGACCACTTGCGGCGATCGCGAAAAAAGAGATTTGCAACACGACCACCACACGGGCAAAAAGCGAGCGATCCGATTAACTTTTCCCCCATTGTAGATTGCAACCTGCGTTGCATCGAAAACTAGCCATTTGGGAAATTATGAACGGTCAGGTGATTTTGCAACAAAAAAAAAAAAAAAAAAAAAAAAAGCTATCCATAAGAGAATACACCCAAATCACTTCGCACGGAACTTAAAACCACGATGCAGTGAAAAAAAACCAAAGCACACCCCACGTACGTATATTCCACTTTCATTTTAAATACATTTTCCCTGCGTGTATTCCGAATTCGACGAAGAACATTTTTCTTTCCTGTCCCCCTGCGTGAATCCCTCCCCAAAAAGGGGTGTGTGTGTGTCGCACAAACAGCGGTACGTAGTAAACTCCACCCCTCAACTGCGCACACGTTTTTCAGTTTCGTTCGAGAGTGAGCGGTGGTTCTGTTACCCAGTGAGGATGTGCATGCTTGTTGCGCATTAGTTTTTTTTTTTTTTTTTTTAAGCATGCCCAGGTACCGCATCAGGCGTATGCACAGATAAGAGCACGTGCAGGCAGGTCCATCACAAGTGTTGTTACACCCCCTGCGGAAGCGCCAACATGGCAATCAAAAAACTCAAAGTGATTGGAGACAAGGATCTCCAGAAGCTGAAAAAAGAGTCCAAATGTTGCATCATTATAAACGACCTGGTGTATGACGTCACTGCGTTTTTGGAGCATCCCGGAGGGTTCGATGTTCTCAAGGAGCATGATGGTAAAAGGGAGGATACGCCCGCCCACCAGGCGCGTGTATGCACGAAATGATAAGCATTCTGTGTGAATCAGCAAACGTAACTTGGTGCACGTGATCTCTTAACGTTTCATGAGTGACACGTGCCACTGCATGATCACACCTCTTTTCCTCTCATCTCACCAGGACAAGACGCAACGAAGGCCTTCCAGCAAATAGGCCACTCCGCCAACGCACAGAACCTGATGAAGACGTTCCTCATTGGCATTCGAAAAAACTCGGCCCTCTACAAGAAAAAGGCGGCTACCAAGACGGTGCAGGGTAAGGATGAATTCGTGGACTACTCCGAGAAGGAGATAAAGGAGGAAACCGAAGCGAAGGCAAGCGCGAACGCGAAAGGGAAGGCTCCCAAGGAAAAGGTTAGATGTGAGATGTGTGTCACGGGCGAGGAGTGACCTTCCGAGACGCCCATTTGAACGTCAAAAAATATGTTCGTGTCAACAGATGTGTGTTGTTACGAGTTCGGGGAAGACAAAAAAAAAAAAATTATAAAAAAAAAAAAAAAAAAAAAAAAAGTGCGAACGAGCATACGTCATGATGCGTGTGTGCGTCTGATCGCCAAATGACACAAAAAGAGGTGCAAGCGGGTGGTTAGCAAATGCCCGGAAGATGCCACCAACCTTCCTAGCGCGTACATTACTACACTGCACTTATAACTGTACTACCACCCCCCCCTTTCTTGCAGCTCCCGGAGGAAGAAAAAATAAACTACCCCCTTGTGGCATCCGTCATCCTCCTCTTCAGCATCACATATTATTTCTTGTTTTTACAAACATAAAACACACCAACTTGTGTCTTCCACCTCCATGGGAAAAAAAACACACACTACTCAACTATTGTTGTATGCGTGTGCACGGAATAAAAAAAAACAATTTTATATTCACAGATGTTTCATTTGAAAGGGATCCACATAACGACAAAGGGAAGTAGACTGGCTTTTACCCTACGCCATAGGTGGGGTCATATCACTGGGGTTCCCCCCCCCCCGTCTCCAACAACAATGAATGAGCATTCGTGGGCATGTCCTCACAAAAAAAAAAAAAAAAAAGCATGCACCCTCTGCCCCGCCTACTCTCTACTTCCCCCTCTTGAGGTACTTCTGGTCAAATATGCTACTCTTCTTTTTTTTTATCAAGTTACTTTTGGCCAGTTTGCGTTTAATCGGGGGGTCCTTACTTTGGTGATCACTCAGCCGGACGCCCTTTCCATGGGTAGCCTCTCCCTGGGTAACCTCTCCCTGGGCGCCTCTGCGTCGCTTTAATTTTTCCCCCAAGCGAACATACTTCTTCACGAGAACCTCCTCGAGGGGGTCCCCCCCTTGCACGATGTCAATAAAAATATTTTTCCTCTTGCGTTCTTCCAGCTGCTGAATTTTGTCCTTCTTTATGTCCCTCAATTGCTTTCTCAGGTTGCTGTTGCAGGAGAAATCATTTTTCATTATATGGTTTAGTTGGTAGTTTTGCTTTATAACGTCATGGATGTGTTCTTCGCTTGTGGGGTCGTCGTCGTCCTCCTCCTCATGTGATCCGTCCTCACTAGACACATCATCGTCGGGGAGTTCACCTGCTGCAGAGGAGTCAGGGTTGGAAGGTTTATCCTGTGCCTCACCTGAACGAAATGTTTTTTCCCCCCAGTGTGTGGCTTCTTCTTCTCCCCCCTGCTGCGCATTCTGTTTTCCCTCGCGCCCCTTCTTGCGGAGGGCCTCAACTTCTAACAGCAGAAACGGGTTGGTTTTTTTTTTTTTGTTTTTTTCAAAATCGATGGAATTCACATTATTGCGTCCCTGTTCTGTGAGGACATTTTCGAACTGCTCGTTTTTTTTTCTGGCCCCTTTTATCACATCATATGAGCAGTCCTTCGGGTTGGTTTCAAATACAATTTCATTCGGGCATTTCTTGCACGTAAAGGTAAAGGAATAAAAGGGGGTACTTAAGTAGAAGCCCACTTGTCTCCTCTCACTGTTGAACCTCTCCCCTTTGTACACATACGATTTGCATTTAGTACATATAATGGTGTATGGCACTTCAAATTTAATTTCGTTGTAGTCCTTTCTGCTTTTTTGCCTTTTTTTCTCCTCCTTTTGCTTCTTCTTCTTTATTTCCTCGTCCTCCACACTACCGTAGTAAAAATTGTCCGCCCTGGATGCCTTCAGCGACAGCATGGCGCTGTGGAGAAGAGGCGTGACGTCAAGGGGGTGACGGCGGCGTGGTATAGCGACGTGGCATAGCGACGTGACAGCGGCGTCTAAAAAAAACCCTGCCTGCTGGTCGAACACAAAAAGAGGGATCCCCAAAAAAACTACGCACTAACTCGCGTGTACACAACCTCTATAACACCCTGTGAACCAACTCCGCATTCTTTTTCGCCACCTCAACGTGTTAACAGCATCGCCGCTTTGGCTTTGAAAATAGGGGACGACACAACCAGCGCTGGCTTCGCCCCGATGCGCAGATGGGAGTATCCGCGTAAATTTGTCAACAAGGAAGAAAAACTATACGTGCATATATACATATATATACATATGTACGTGCGGCCTGCTCACGAGGGCAGGAAATGCCCCTCCCTCCTGCTGGCCTCCGCCAAGTTTGAAATTTCCCCTTCTCCACTAACTGAAATATAAAAAGGGGCGAAGAAATAAAAAAAACGAGCATCACCTTTTTTTTTTTTTTTTTTTTTTTTTTTTTTCTGTTTTGCAACTCGAGGGAGCGCGAAAAAAACGTTCACCCGTTCCGCGTGGCGAGAAAAAAAAAAAAAAAAAAAAAAAAATTAAACAAAGTTGAAAAAAGGTAAAAGAGGAAAGTAAGTAACGGTAAAAAAGGAAAAGTCAGGGGTGCCATGCCCCCAAGGAGCACGCTTTAAAAACAGTGGAGTCACCACATCCCATCCCTGTGGGACAGCGTGCCCACCGGAAAGGCCATTCAACTTTTGCGCCCCTTCTTGTTCAGTCCGTCCAGCCGCCACAAAATGACGTTGGCACACCAATCCGATACGACCATGCACCACCATTCAAGTGGGATTACTTTGTCGTCCAAACATGCTGCTTCATATTGTTTTAAAAATTGTCCCCAATTCAAGTTACCACGTTGGCACGAGGAGGCCATGCAACCCTTGGGGGGGAGAGCAACATGTACACGTGTAAACGTGTAAACGTTTAATTATGTACTCGTTGAGGTATCCCTCCTGCATGCTTGTGTTCAAACGGAAAAGAAGCTTCACGCGTGCGCACACCCCTGTGGAGAGATGGCGCTATATACTTGGCGAGGTTTCAAATTTAAAAAAAAAAAAAAAAGGGACGTAATAAAAGTGGCATGATGACGGCGGTGCAGAGAACACCATTTTGTATGTGGAGCAAACGGGAAAAAAAAAAAAAAACAGAAAAAAAAAAAATGCCCGCACAAAAAATACGGTGAGCAAAATACCACGCCATACACACACACATGTAGATACTCATAAACGTACACACGTATAGACGTATGCATATATGGGTACTCCCTTGTCCTTTCCCTCCACCTGTACCTCTTCTCAATGGCATTAAAAAATCACACAAAAAAAGAAACGATGAAAAAATACGAATAATTCGGCGGGGGGAGAGATGAGTGTAAACCAAAAAAAAAAAAAA